TGTACTCAAAACATGTCTATCTTTTCTTCTTGAATGCAGTAAAAGATTTGTCCATAATTTTCAATAGTTAAATTATGCATCTATTAATGTGCAACAACATAAGAAGCAAAATATAGAAGTTGGAGATTAACCCAGGGTATAACGCCTTCTTTATATTTGGGGTGTTAATTTAATATTAAAAGTATCAATACAGAGATGATGATAGTTGCAATAACTTCAGATGAGGTTTATCCTGGTTATGATTAATTTCTCTGTATTTTCACCATTACAGACTGTCATTTGATCCAACGATTGAAAGTTTTTTTTAACATTGTCTTAAAGGTCTATCAGTGCTTATTTTGTGGTGAAAAAAAAAGTAAAATCACAAAAATACTGAACGCTGAGGAAAAGTCAAAAAGGAAAGTCCCTAATCAAATGGCAAAATCAAAAGATAATGAGTAAATGCATTTTTTTTGGTTCTTCATTAAAAAAAAAAGATGTCATTTAAATTAAAATTTCAGATTTATAATGAAAGTTTTCCTAAGACATTTAAATTAAAATTTAAGATTTATAGTGAAATAATAATTTTCCTAAAATTTTTACATTTTCAAAGCATTGTAGTTGACAGATTATAGAATAACATAGTACTTGAAATTGATTTAAACTCGTAGTCTAGTGCATGCAAAGTTCCGTAGCAAAACATTCTTTATCTTCAGAGTTTTGGTGTAGACTTAACAAATATCAAATGATCATTTCAGAAATACATTATGCTTGGAGCGCTGCGTGTCTTTACTAACATATAACAAAGTTGCTTATTGGTGTTTAAGTAGTAGGGTTGGTTATATCTTCTGTTTGTTTCAGTTGTTCTTTGGATGGTTCTTTGGTTTTGAGGTATTTAGGGTGTGGTGTTTACCATTCAAAGGAATCTATATATGTAATTCTGAAATGAAAAATATTTGATATTTCTAGTCATAAAAAAAATAATCAAATGTTTGAGCATAAAGCTGCTTTGAACTTTGAATCTGTACGATTTTCATACTTTCTTTAATTTCTTATTTTCAAAATTGAAAATAAATATCTTCAATCAAAATCAAATCTAAATTGTATTTGACATATTATGATGAAATGGAAAACTAGATAACATATTCTCGTAAATTAAGTTGAATTCAGGGGAAGTGGAAAATGATCCCAAAAGTTTTTTTAGATATACTTTATCTTCTTCAAAATTGTTTATGGGTATCTACATCTTTAAAGCACTGATCGCTATTAAGATAATAAAGAAGTAAAAATACATTTTTATAACAATCAAGCCATAACGAAAATTCTGCCATACAAAAAAGAATTTGGATGTTTAATCTACATTTATTATAGAGTTATAAACATAATCGCAAAGGTTATTAATTTTTACATGACTGAAAGCTTGTTCAAGTCTTAATATTTGGTGAACAATAATAAATTTCTATGATATATATATTATTATCACTATTTTACTGAATTTTCCTTTGATCTTACTGATAATTTCCTTTCTCAGCATAGTAGAAAGATATGGAAAGTATCTCTAGAAACTAAGGCTGCACACGTCATTGTCAATGTAAATTTCAACGTCGTCATAAGCAAAATAGCGATAAACAGATTATCATTGGTCATCTCAACTTGATTACCGGCTCAAGGGAGAAAATCAATCTCGTTGAGATGACCAACGAAATTTATAATGATTTCCAATACCCTAAAAACTTCATTTTGAGTTATCTGAAACTATCATCATCTCCAAGTGAAGAGTTATCTAACTTATCAATCCCGATATCTTACAGTAGTTATCTCCCTTTGCTTCAAGCTTCTGAACCTTGGGTTAATTATCAACTCTCACCTTCAACACTAGGTTTCCATCCACAGATTCCAGACATTTAATGATAACTTCATTATTATTATGAGACCATAATTGACAACTGGTATTAATGTTTTAATTTTACTTGCTAGTCCCATTTAACAATTGCTCATCGTAATTTGTAAAATTAAATTGTCTTGAGTTTAAGCATTTCTTAAAAAAAATTTCCTGTTTAATAGAAAATTAATCTTTTTAACTTCCCAAGCCATTCTGTGATCAATATATTGAAGGATAATTTTTCTTTTTTGCAATCAAAAGTATTGACAGTGAGCAGGATCATTTCAAGATCACAAAAAAGGAGCTGAAAACTGGTCTATTTTATTCTATTTATCATGTGTACATGAAAAGGAGTAGATTGTACAACACAAAAATTTCAAATTTTAAATCATAAGTTTGTTGAAATATAGCTCATTTTATACAATTTAGATCTTTTATTGAAAAAGGTATTAGACTGATCTTGACCCTATCATACCGTTTGAATTACAACATAAATTAATTTACTCCTTGGTATCAAACCATTCTATCTTTTTAAAATTTGGTAATTACAATATAGGTAAAGCACAATTGCCATCATAAAATACTTTAAAAAAATAAAATAAGTAAAACCCAATTATCAATAACTGACTGCAGCTATTCTTCATTGGATCCTTTTTGAAACTCATGGCCAGACCAAGAGTAATCTAAGAGCTTGACTCTTTAACAGGGATCCAACTTTAGCCTCATTAGTTCAAAGGAGTTTTCCATTAGTCCATAATAATTAAGAAATAATTGTTGCAAGCTATACTTTATTGTAGTTTTAAGATTGGTAGGCATTATATAAGTGATTATTTTTACCTGAGCGATAGCATACAATCAGTTCTGTTAACCAAGCAGTTTTAGATTTATATTAGACCCTGTTTCAGACTTTGGGGATTTAATCACTAAAAAAGTTAAAGATAACCAGACTATTTTAGATTTTACTGGTAATCTGTTTTCTTTTCCCCGGTAGCAAAAAAGAGCTGATTCCTTTAAGTCTGTATATTGGCTGCTTCTGGTTCTTATCCATTTAAGGAACCAATGATTCTGGAGAGTGCAGTAACCTTGCCTCAGTCCATTATTGTCAAGATATCAGTGATTTTCCTTTTTTCTGACAAAAGTCATTGGAAGTAATCTTACATAAAACAAATTTTGATAAAACCAATCAAAAATGCTATCATAAATAATCTGGGAACAAAAAATTTTACTTTTTCAATTGTAAATTTTGCTACTATTTTTCTTTCAAGTATAAAACTTAAGTAAAAAGTAAAAATCTATTTTATTGAAGAATTACGTGCTATTTGAGTTTTGAAATTAATTTAAATTATAAAGTATTGAAATTAATTTTTATTATAAAAAATCAGTATTTATATCATTTCTTTGAGTTCTTAATTTTTTCTTTCTAAATTTTTTTATTAAATCTAAAGATTTCATACTTGATACATGTAATATCATTTTGCATCATATTTGTATTTTTTCATTTCAGCTTCTTTTTCTTGTACCACTGAAACTTCACAGAATAATTGCGTACATTTTGAAGTTGTGTACCTGCTTATATGAAATTGTTTGAGGAATTTCCCCCCATTTTTCCCTTAATTCTGATCTTGATGATTGTTTTCCAAAATTTTCAAAGATGGTACTGATTTTGTGTAATCAACTCCTGCAGTTTTCAATCTCAATCTTTTAACTTCACACAATGATTGTACAAATATTTAAGTCGTCCACTTGGTACTATGGAATTGTTTGATAATTTTTTTCCTGACTTGGGAACTAAGTAATTTTTCATCAAAGGTAAAATAAATAGTATTTAACCCATATCTTTTGGAATTCACAGAGAGTTTGCAAATCTATAGATGCTTTTACAAATTTTGGGACTATACATGACTACTATGTACATGAGTAGTAAACCTTGAAAATGAGATATTTTTTATTAAACTATGCTTCAAAATATTTAAAAAATGTTGATTTATATGTGTTTATTATACTATTACTACACTGTACTTTTTTTCTTACATTTGTATAAGTATTTTCATATCAGATGTCTGGTAACTTATATAAAAGCTATTATCTAGAGCTCTGTAAATAAAAAAAAATGTAAACATAGTTCTAAAATATACTTTTAATGAGTGGAAGAAATTGTGGGGTACAGAATACATTTCGTAAATTATCAAAATACAAGTTACCTGTTTAAAAGCATGTCTGGTATTTTTACAGTACTTTTTAAATTAATTTAATAAATTATTTGTATTTTAAATTGAGAATTTCTTCAGTTTCCATGATTAGAAAAATAATGTGAGATGACTTGGAACATTCTGGTGACTATTGTACATTTTATAATGTACAATGGAAAGGACATTTCATTACTTAGATAAAATGGATTCAGTGGACTGATTAGCATAAAAAACTATGATGGAAAACCTTTGAAAGCAGCCAGGATAGCAGCTCCAAGGAAGATGGTCAAATAAATCTTCAACCAAGTCTGAGGCTTTACCAAGAAATTAAGAAGGCAAGTTTAATTAAGCCAAATATTTGTATACTTTTTCTAGAAATATTCGACAAGAAGTGCATATTAAGACAACACGCCAGCACCCTTCTGATCTTCTGCATGCAAAACACCATTGATGTATTAATTTTAATAAGTTTTATAATTTAAGTTACCATTTTCTTGAACAAGATTTTGGATCAAAATATTTAAAACTTCAAGGGGAGACAAGTACAATTAACAGCAAGATTTGTTCTTTCAATGGGATATAACTGATAAATTTGCACATCACTTTTGTGCAGTTAAATTCCAAACAAAAACCTTTGACTTGTTTTATTTTTATTATGTCAAGTTTTCTGTTTAGTCAGGTTAATAGTTACTCCTTGCTATGGATCAATGACATTTTGTATTTATTTGCATTACTAACAAATTATCGAATTAATTAGCAATGTTGCTAATCATCAGATGTTTTTCATTTTCCGCTGCTAGTCGAGACATCTCTGTCAACAGTTTATCTTACAAACTTGTGTTGATACTATTGTGTACATTTTGTAAGAAATCAGAACATTATATAGTGACTTTATATTTATAGAGAAATGGATTTGTAAAATATATAATGTGTCTTTTTTAATTCTTTTTAGGTTCTTCTGTGGTATGTTTTCATGGTGTGGGAATAAGACTTGGTGGTCTAATACAGCTAATACGAAGGTATGTACCAGTAGGTTAGTCCTGTTTTGAAAAAAGAAAAAGTATTATAAAATGTATTTGGAAATAGCATGTGCTCTAAGCATGAAGGTTTGTAGGAGTTTGGTAAGAAGTCTTTGCTTTCTTTAATTGCCTTTAAAGGAGTAAATTTAATTATCTGATTTGATTATGTAAAAGTTTGTTGGGATGCTGGTTTGCTGTTCTCAACTTCTATTACATATTTATAGACTTTTATTTAATTTGCCACTGGACATTTAGCAACCAACAGTCAAATGAATCAATCATTCAAAATATGGAATATACATACAGTATATCAAAAATGATCCTTTTAAACAATCTTGAATGACTAATCATTTTATTTTTCAGGTTAGCATCACAGCTTGTCTGTAAAGATTGAAGCTGGGAGTGGGCATTGGAGCTGACTTTTATGGTAAGAACCAATACAAAAAAAAACAATATGTAAAAAAAGAAATATGTTAAGACATCTACCATTGACTTGTTTTTCATCCTTTTCTGCTAATAAAGACTGGTAGTTCAAAAAATATATCAGCAAATCACTTTTAAACAAAGTAAGAGAAAGGTTTTATGAATCATGATTATAATGACCAGTTATTATTTTGCATTTGATATTGTTTCAATTTTCAGATTTTGACAATTACGTTTAATTCTGTATATTTCTTTTTCAGGTAACTGTGGCTGCATAAAAGGGCTATGTGATTTTACTGTAACAGTAAAGAATGTAATTCAGACTATTTTTGTGTATGTTTGAGAAAATGTTTATAATTTTTACAAAAAGAAAAAAAAAATGTACAGGTTCTCCATTTTCAACAAGATTGGAAGTTGTAGGTTAATAGGTCTTTGAAATTTCAAAAATTACTTTCTATTTTCTGTTCATACTCATGTCTAGGCAAAACACTTCCAGTAGTTTAAGAATGGAGAATCTAAAAAAAAAGAAAAAGAAAAAGAAAAAAATGTTCAATTATTGAAATGTTTTTTATTTTTGCAAATTGTAATATATTTTTTCACCTTTGTGTCATTTTTAGCTGAGTTTATAACAAAAGGTATACTATTTTAAGAATATTTTACAAGAAGCATAGTTGAATATCTTGATGAAAGTAGATTGATTGATTTTTGGTATTTAACACCACTTTCAGCATGATTTGCTATATCTTGGCTGCCAGTTTTTATTTGTGGAGACAGCCTGGTGAAAACATCCCCTTAAACAGAGAAACTGGCAACTCTAGTCAATTAAGATTGATGTTAAACACACCTACAATGTGAGGGTTCAGAGTGTTGACAGGCTAGTCATGATACAGTAGTTGAACTACTTTGACCATTCAGTCACCATTACTCCATCTGCACTAAATATGTTACTGAAATGTGTTGTATTTTTTATTTTGATTACCGGTATACTATTTATGTTTTTTTGTTATATATAACAAAGATGTGGAGTTCTAACAGGGTGAAATTTAGGTCAAAGGGAGGTAATTTATTATATTGTGTTTAACTTTAAATACTTGAAATTCCCTCAATGTTAGATTTTTATTTACTTGGATACTCACATTTATGCACTTTTTTACATATCAGATGTTTTCTAGATAATAGAAATTTAGGGTGGGAAAAATTATGTGTCACTTAAAATAATTACGTGAAATTTTTCAAAAAGTTTATTAATTGAAAGTGCATCTGATATTTTTTATGTATGTTACTTTATTTTCTAAAAACAAATGGACACAACATAGATTGACAATAAGATATTGAGAAGAACCACCTTGTCAGCCAGGATAGCAGCTCTTAGGAAGATGGTCAATTAAATCTTCAACCAAGTCTGACTCTTTACAACGAAAATAGAAAAGGCAAGTTTATTTTAGCCAGATCTTTTAAGATAACAGACCCTTCTGAAATATTGCATTTAAAACACCATTGATGAATTAATTTACCAGTTTAGTATTTAAAGATACAAGATACATGAACAAGATTTTCTATTAAAATATCAATAGTAAATCCTAAAAATAGTCATTTAACTTAAAGAAAAGACCAGTACAATTTAAGACACGATTTTGCATTCAATGGGAGATAACTTTGTAAAATATTCAGATATTTTTTGTGCAGTTAAATTTAAATCTGACGTTTTTTTACTTTTCTATCTTTTATATTGATTTAAAAAAAAAATGATTTTATACAATTGTCTACCTGCAATAAGAAATCAGAACAATATTTAGTAAATATTAGGTTATCGGTAACACATAAATTGATTTACAAAATGTATAATGTGTTGATTATAATTTCATTTCAGGTTCTTTCTGAGACATGTTTTCATGGTGTGGGAATAAGACTTGGTGGTCTAATACAGCTAATACAAAGGTATGTACCAGTATGTTAGTCCTGTTTTGGAAAACTCAAATGTATTATAAATATTTTATGGAAAAACAAGATTTGAACGCTTAAAAGATTTTTTACAGGAATCTACTCTTATTATTATATCAGTAACCAAATAAGAGTAAAGTTTAGGATCTGAATTGTTTACATAAAAATGTGTTGGCTTGTTGGATTGCTGTCTCATCCATATGTTCTTGACACATATAACACATTTTAAGACTATTTCTATTTAATGATTTGCCACTGGACCTTAAGCAACCAACAACCAATCATTCAATCTATTCAATATACATACATAATACCAACAAAGAACCTTTTAAACAGTTTTTATACGCCCGATTACGGAACGTATTATGGTATACTGTTGTCCGTCCGTCTGTCGTCAACATGTCTGACATTAACTCAAAAACTCTTTAACCAATTTGCATAAAACTTTGGTGAATTGTTTATATCTATTGACGGGAGCTCCCTTTCGTTTTTTATAAATTTTAGATTTTACGTTTCCGAGTTATTGGGTTTTATTCATTAAAAAAGGGGGGTTTTCCAGTTTTTAGACAATAACACAAGAATGCTTTCACCAACTTGCAAGAAATTGTGGTGAATTGTTTATATCTATTGACATGAGCTCCCTTTCGATTTTTATAAATTTTAGATTTTACGTTTCCGAGTTACAGGGTTTTATTAATGAATTATTTTATATTTCAGGTTAGCATCACAGCTTGTCTGTAGTGATTGAAGCTGGGAGTGGGCATTGGAGCTGACTTTTATGGTAAGAATCAATACATAGATTTATGAACTTTTCATCCAAGAGCATTTTAAAGCCCAAGATTTTTGTTCGGCACAGATGTAAATCTTACATATTAATGTCTTCTTTACTTATAGTTGAATAAACAATTTAAAAGGAGATATAAAGATATATAAGGGAAGTCAAAAGGTATAATGTATAATGCGAAATCTTGGGATTTCAGTTTTTTAGCTCACCGGGGCCTGAAGGGCCCCATGTGAGCTTATGCCATCACTTGGCGTCCGTCGTCGTCCGTTGTCTGTCGTCGTAAACTATTTCAAAAATCTTCTCCTCTGAAACTACTGGGCCAAATACCTTCAAACTTTGACTAAATGTTCCTTAGGGTATCTAGTTTTTAAATTGTATCCGAAGTTTTGATCCATTGACAAACATGGCCGCCATGGCTAAAAATAGAACATAGGGGTCAAATGCAGTTTTTGGCTTATATCTCAAAAACTAAAGCTTTTAGAGCAAATCTGACATGGGGTAAAATTGGTCAATTGGTCACGATCTATCAGCTCTGAAATTTTCAGACGAATCAAACAACCCATTGTTGGGTTGCTGCCACCGAATTGGTAGTTTTAACAAAATTTTGCAGTTTTTTGTTATTTTGAATATTATTATAGATATATATAAACTGTAAGCAGCAATAATGTTCAGCAAATTAAGATCTACAAAAAAGTTAATATGACCAAAATTGTCAATTGACCCCTTAAGGAGTTAGTGCCCTTTAAAGACAATTTTACACAATTTGTTCATCAAGTTTGCTAACATTTTAAAATCTTCTCCTCTGAAATACAGGTGAGCGATTCAGGCTCTTGAGAGCCTCTTGTTTGTTATCTATAGTTGTCCCCATATATGAAAATATGTAAGTGTGGTATGTATGCCAATGAGACAGCTATCAACCAGAGACCAAATGATGTGGATGCAACTAAATGTCACCCTATGCCTTCAACAATGAGCAAAACCTATATTGTATAGTTAGCTATAAAGGTTCAACATGACTAAATGTTAAAAAATTCAATCAAGTATGTTAATAGCCAGCTGATATACTATATATAGCTATAAAACAATGTTAAAAAGATATTTGTCAAGACATCAGCCAATGACTTGTTTTTCATCCTTTTATTGCTAAGAAATACTGGTACTTTAAAATTTGTGTCAACAAATCACTTTATAACAAAGAAAAAGAAATGTTCTATACATTATAATTGTAATGCTCAGTTAATTATAATTGTTTTGCATTAAATATTATTTCAATTTTCATGAGTAATGTATATTTCTTTTTCAGATAACTGTGGCTGCATAAAATGGTTGTGTGATATAACTGCAAAAGTAAAGAATGTAATTCAGACTATTTTTGTTTGTTGCTTGAGAAAATGTTTATAATTTTTTTACAAAAAAAAAAAAAAATATGTAAAAATTCTCCATTTTCAACAAGATTGGAAGTTGTAGGTTAACTTGTATTTGACATTACAAAAATTCTTTCTATTTTCCGTTTATACTCATGTCTAGTCAAAACACTTCCAGCAGTTTAAGAATGGAGAATCTAAAAGAAAAAAAAAGAAAAAAAAATGTTCAATTATTGAAATGTATTTTTTTTGGCAAATTGTAATGTATATATTTTTGCCATCTTTTTGTTATTTTAGGATTTGAAATACTTTCAAATTTTACAAGTTACTTTATACATTAATGCAATTAAATCTGCCGATGTGAATATTCCCACTAAATTTCTTAGCAAAAATTTTAATTATTTTTGTTTTTTTTAGCAACGTTTCAAAATACCTTACCATGGCAAATGCCTCTCTAGTGTAAACTAAAAAGATAAATAATGGTCTGCAGTAAATATATCCCCTTACAACCTTTTCTTTCATGTTAATTTTAATATCTTTAAGATATGTGACAAGGGTGCTCTAATGCAGAGGAATTTACGAAGTTAAGAAGTTAGAAATATATTTTTTGCACTTTTTTTGTCATTTTTAGCTGATTTTGGTTTGTAACCAAGGTGATATTTTTTAAAGAATAATTTTACAAAAGGCATAGTTGAAGAACATCTTGTTGAAATTGGATTGGTTGATTTTTAACATGATTTACTATAATTTTGGCTGTAAATTTTTATTTGTGGAGACAGCCAGAGTGCCTGGTTAAAACATCACCTTCATCAGGGAAACGGGCAAACCCTAGTCAAATTAAGAATGAAGTTACACATTTCATGTGAGGGTTCTCAGTGTTGACAGGCTAGTGATACAGTAGTTGAACTACTTATAGGACCACTCTGCCACCAAAAGTCGATCAGTACGAAATATTTTATTGAAATGTGTTAGATTTTTGTTATCAATCTATTTTTTAATTTTAATTGTACTATTTTATTTATTAAGTCTCCCAAACGAAGTTTGGGAAGACTTATTGTTTTTGCTCAGTTCTTATTATTATTATTATTATTCTTCTTCTTCCGCCGCTTTTAAATTTGAACTTGTCCGCACCCGTTCTCCAAAACCGCTTGTCAGATTAACTTAGGGTTTCACAATATGTTAGACTAACATGTCTAGTGGTGTAATCAGGGTTTTGTTTGTGCAATGGGGTTTATAAAGGGGTACTTTGAGGGGCAAAAAGAAAAGAGGGTTTTACTATAGAACCCTATGGGATTTTATTTTTTAAAATTTTCAAATGATTATAAATTGAAAACCGTTTGTGATAAACACAATCTTTTTAATTGAAAATGTTCTAAATGATAAAGCCCATTAAATGAAATACAGGGTTATATATATAGTTCTAATATCTTGTAAATGGTCGAGATCCCCACCCCTAAACCATATATATTCTGGTTTGTCATGATAAAGCACATCAAATGAAACACGGGGTAGTCCTTAGGGGTCACCCCCACCCCCTGCCATTTGAGAAAGTTCTAATATCTTGTAAGTGGTCGAGATCCCCACCCCTAAACCATATATATTCTGGTTTGTCATGCTAAGATGGTTTGAATGATATACAGGGTTAGTCCCCAGGGGTCATCCCAACCCCCTGCCATTTGAGAAAGTTCTAATATCTTGTAAATGGTCGAGATCCCCACCCCTAAACCATATATATTCTGGTTTGTCATGATAAAGCACATCAAATGAAATACAGGGTTAGTC